ACCTAAAAGGCAATTCATTTGGACAATCTCAACATCCTTACCAAGGTAACATGTCTTGCTGAAAAGATACAAAACAAAACAAGGTATTCTGACCAAAAAGAAACAAAATTCTACCCATTGTAGACTTGCATCTAATGTGAAAAACATGTACATAGTTATACTGTGTAACAAGTGCTATTACTGTTGAGCTTTTGCAAACCAATACTAAACGGTATGAGACATCTACAGTTACAAAATGAAATGTAAGTATTACCATTTTTTAAATTTTTATTTTAGGTTCACCTGGATAGAAGCTGAAGGGTAAGAAAGAAATGGAAGAAGAGATGGGGGACTACTTTCCTCACCTTATCAATTAGAGACTGAAGAGATACTGTCCGTAAGTTCATAGATCAGAAATATAATTTTAAGTATATAAAGTCACAAAGGTAACCAATAAAACAATTTAAAAGTGATATAAATATATTGGAAGTAGGCCAAGGTCAACAATACGTGTGGTAAACTAAATCCTCACCTAGTATCTGCTAAAATGAACTAAAGTTGATAAAACAAGAAATTAGTGCAAGTATATTTTAAAATATCGAAGTATTCAGCATAATTCAACACAAAACAGGTAACAGACTGGATAACAGAAGAGGGATAGAAAGGAGTAGATCAGGAGAGTAATGCTTTTCATTTATAAACTCTCCTATACTGTTTGACTTTTTAAAAAGCCTTACACATGATAGTTAAAAGCTGACTTCTTTAAGAAACTTTAGAAGAAAAAGGGAATTTTGATAAGTGAAAATCACACTTCAATGCTTACATTCTGTGAATTTTTTTAACTATTTTAAAGACTTAAAAGTATGTGTATATATACACATATGTATATATTAATAAATAAAATGCTTTCCACAATACTTAGTTATGGGAAAATTTTTCCACATCACAAAATATCTTCTTTTCAATGTTTCCAAAATAGAGTATTAGAACAAGGACAGCAATTAGTACAAAAATGTTTCAGTAGAATTGACCACTAAAATGGCAAGTAGAAGAAGAGCACCAATTACTTAATTAACCCATGCAATCAGCAAAGTTAACAGCAACATTTGTTGCCAAAAAATACCTTTCCTCTTTTAAGAGCAGAGTAACCTCTCCATTTAATTCCTAAGGGCAAAAAAGAAAAACAAAAACAGGAACAAAAAACCTCCAAGCATCTTTTTAAAAGAAAAACAACTTACCAAATTAGAGTTTTCAGTTTTTACTTTAAAAGCATACTTTCCAATTCTTCAATTTGCTCATTCAAATAGCATTGTTTAAGAAAGTCAACTCCATGTTTGACTCTAAATGTCAAAAATCATGGTGTACCAAAGGCAAGTATCACCATAAAAATGGTGCCAATTTCCTTTTTTAGTACACATACATGTTTCATTGTAAAGCATTTTTTGCTCACTGGAACATTTTTGGACAAGAGTCTTCCCTTCCTCTCCTCTAATTTTAATCCATCCAGAGTAACCAGTGATATCAGTTTGGTGTACAGCTGACCCTTGAAAAACATGGGTTTGAACTGCACAGGTCCACTTATCCATGGATTTTTTTTCAATAAATACTGCAAATATAGTTTGCTTTCTTTACGATTTCCTTAACATTTTCTTTTCTCCAGCTTACTTTATTGTAGGATTACTGTGTATAACACATATAACTTGCAAAATATGTGTCAACTGTTTATGTTATCAGTAATGCTTCCAATACTACAGTAGGCTATTTGTAGTTAAGTTTTGGGGAATGAAGTTATACGCAGGAGGTGGAGTTTTATGAGAATTATTGACTGCACAGGGCTCAGCGCCGCTGACTCCTGAGCTGTTCAACAGTCAGCTGTATATTCTTTCATTTTTTTCTGTGCATGCACACACACACAAAATATTTTAAAATCTCTTTCAAAAACAGGTATCAAATGACTAAGTATTGCATCACACTCAGCAGATTGTGTACAACTTTTCAAGACACGTATTTTCCCTCAGTTTTCTACTTGCTAAGTTCCTTAGGAATTTCTAATGGCTACACAGTTTCTCAGTAAATAAAATGTTGCATATTAAAACATCTTAAAACTTACACTCCATGTCTTAGGTTATGGAGAGTCTAATGGTTACAAAATTACATCTTGAAAATCTTAATCTAATTTTTCACATGAAAATCAATCTCAAAGTTTTCATTTTCTTCAAAACTTATTAATATAGGGTCAATAACTGAAGTAGGGAAGATGAACAGGGATATATATTTTATCAAAAATCAAATTTTAAAAAAAAACCTTAAAATACTAGTAAGAAGCAATGGGGAAAATATAAAGGGAAAACAAGAGTCAAGATCAAATTCATAAATTAAGAAGTACTTAAAAGAGCAAGAAGTGCAGAAAAATTAACCTTTTTCAACCTAAACTTCATTTTCATAGAAATTAAACAAATTTGAATTATAAAAACTTCCTGAAAAAGCCCATAAAGTCTAAACTCTTAACATTAAAAATCTTTATCAACAGATCTTATAAATATTAACTCAAAAATAGCATTGCTTTCAAAACCTGAAGTTTTTAAAAAATGGTTTACCTACCCCCTATTATTAATTTTCTAATCCTCATCCAAGGAATTTTTTAATTGTTTTAGAGAGAGAAAGGAGAGAGAGAAACATCAATGTTAGAGAGAAACATCTATCAGCTGCCTCCTGAAAGCACCCCAACTGGGGATTGAACCTGCAGCCTTTCGATGTATGGGATCCAACCAACCGAGCCACATGGCTGGAGCTGCTAGCTCTAATTTTAAAACACATCATCCTTATTCACAGAGCCAAAACATAATAATTGCAAAAAGAAAATTCTTAAAGGAAAAAATGTTACTCTATTCCAAAAGATTTGTATAAACAGCTTTTAAAACACTCACTGGAAAACTAAGTAAGAATCTTAACACTCAATTGATGTTTAACATAGTGTTTACAATTATTTTGTGAGTAAACAGGTTCCACACAAATATCCATCACCTTCATAATGGTTGACATTTCTTTAAATGATGCAGTCCTCCATAATACAAAAAATAAACCCCATACTAGTAGGAAGGAAAAAGTATGATTATGCATCTTTTTCTAAATAAATGAGTCGTTATTAACCCATACGTAATTATTACTCACCTTCCCAAATACTCAGCTTTACCTTTTTTCTAACTATAAAATACACATCCTTAAAAAAAAAAAAACAAAAAAAAACAAAAAAAAACACACCTTGAAAACATGAATAAAAAAATAAAAAATCATAAGCTCACTTTTGGTACATGGTCTTCTAGTCATTTATCCATACAGACCAAAAGATACTAAATTTTTTTTTCTTACAAAATTTGGGATCACAGAAAGCGCCTTTTTAAGTGGTTTACCCAAATCTATTACGTTCCAAAAATTATGATCATACCATCATTAAAGAAATAGTGATATTAATTCTTATTAGTTGCCAAAGTATTCTATTTACTTATTTACATGTACCTTTCTTTTGCGAAGCTTAAAATGTTAGGCTTGATTTTCTATTACATCCACCTGGTGTAAAAGGACAGGCACAAGCATTGTAGAGAAAAAGAACTACTTCAAATCTTGATTTTCTGAAATCGGATGAATGTCACCTTGTGTAAATTACAACCTCTCTGAGTCTGTTTGTCAGATGAAAATGGAAATAACTGCACCAACCAAATACGGTTGTTCTGAGGATTATACAAAATACTAAGGGAAGGGACTCAGTGCCAAACACCCAGTAGTAATCCCATAAATATTACTTCTTTCCCATTTAAGAAGAAAAAGAAAAGGCGTGAATGTGACATAACTATTAAAAGAGACTTTTAGACATAAGCCCAGTAACGGTAACTGAAAAGGTGTTATTTTACCAGAGCTTTAACCCACTTGTAATTTAAATTACTTCACAACCCACTTACACCTGGAGACAAGTCAGGGTAGCAATGCACCAAAAATTTCAGTTCGGGGTAGAAAAACTTATTTTTTAAGTTCATTTCACACGTTTGGCTCTCTGATATCATAGCTGTCATTGCTGACGAGAGGTAAGACTGAAGAAAGTCTCTCTTGTAAAAGTACACTTTGAGTTACAACCCTGCGGTTGAGAATTTCCTTCAGTGAGGATCATTACGCCCTGCCCGGTGTGGCTCAGCTGGCTGGGCGTCCTGCCCCAACGCAAAGGTCGCCCGTTGATTCCCCGCCCCGGCACGCGCCAGGGTGGCGGTTCCGGCCCGATCGCCGCGCGGACCAGAAGAAACCGATAGATGTTTCTCTCCCTTCCCCTCGATCCCCTTCCTCTCTCTAAATAAATAAATACAAATCTTTTTTTAAAAAAATATATAAAAGAATTAAGAGGTTAAAAGAACACCAGCTCTAGACTTTGTTCTCCCCTTCCAGTAAGTTTTGGAATGAACGTGAGAGTAATTCTTCATAGCAATTTACAGAAAAAAATGCCACGGGGAAAAGGATAAGTTTGAAAACTGCTCCCTGCGGAGTTCCGGGGACCTGGGATACTACGATTTAAAACCTTGAGGTCTTTCGACAGAATTGGGAGGGGTGGGGAGGAGACGGAGGGAGGCGGGGGGGGGCGGGGGGGAATGGTCCGTAAAAGTCCGAGACCGAAAATGCGATGAGGGGGAGGGGCAACCAAAAAACGCTAACGACCCAGGCTGTAGAAAGGCGGCTTCGCTCCAGGGAAAACAAAACTAACTGGAAACGAAGAGAAGAAAATGAGGAAATTCCGGGACTCCGCGAAGACGGATGGAGGGGGCGGAGGGTGAGAATCAGGGAGGCTGTGGCGCAAAAAGAGGGGTTGTGCCGTCCGAGAGAATGGTCCCCCGGGGAAAAGGAGCGGCGACGGGACCGGAAAGCGAGGACAAGGATGTGGGCGGGGGGAAGAGGCGGGGAGGCCTCTGCAGTCCTCGAACCTGAGAAAAAACAAGGAAGGGGACGAAACGGGGCCAGGACAGAGCGGTGCGCCGCGGTACCTGCAGAGATCGTCCAGGACGCTGCCGGGAATCTCCACCCGTTTGGTCTCCATGATGAGGACCCACAGCAGGAGCAGTGCATCCCGGCTCCGCGCGGCCGGGGACCGAAACTACGGCACGGAGACTCCGGCTCGCCGGAGAGCGGGCTGCCGCGGAGGCAGCGCTAACGAGCAGGAGAGGGGGAAGGGGCGAAACCTGCTCACTTCCGTCCTACACCCTCAGCCCTGGACCCCCGAGGCTGGGCCGAGGTACGGGGCGGAGCCCCGGTAGTTACGCCCCTGTTCTACTTGAACGGCCCAATGGGAAGCTGGGGGATCAGGAGCCTAAGCGCGTAAGCCAATGAGACGTTTGCTTATTGGTCCGTCGTCTCCAGTCGTCTTCAAGCTGCTCAATTGCCACTTAGAAAACCAACTTCCCGCCGCCTTTGACTGTGCCTTGGAGTGGGTATGCGCATGCGCACCATGAAGCCGTTGCACTACCAGGAAGTCTGGAGGGCTCAGGTCTTCCCTCTAGACCCCGAGATTAACAGCGGGATTTGGGCGTGGTTTACTTGTCTTCTTCGTGATTGAGCAGGCTCCTACTTTGCAAAACAAACCCCACAGGTGCGTTCAGCTCTGCCCTAGCGTGCATTCACGATTCCTGTCATCAGAATATCCTGCAAACACTCCGCCGCCCCCACCACCTCCAGGCCAACGGCTGTGCCTCCTTTCACTACAAACTCCAGAAGACAATAGTTATTTTTGTGGTAGCTCACCTCTGTCCGTCTTCGGGCACCAAGCTCCCAAGGTGAAGACAAGGACTTAAGTGTCTGAAACATAGTGAACCGGAACCCGGGAATCGGCATTCTACCTCTACACACTGACACCACCCCAATTTGCTAGTCCTCCTCATTCATTCCTCATCTTGCTTAATGAAGTCTAATCCATTGGAGATCCTACTTTCTCCTTTTACATCAGAGGCACAGGTTCACACACACCTGCTAGGTCACTAGTTTATTTAATTCTATTTCATCTCCCAACATTTCTCTTAAGTTTTTGTCCAAATGTCCACATTTACATCAGGTCCTCATTATTTCTCCTCACTACTGTAAGTGCTGCCTAACTAATCACCTCTACCTCCATTCTTGTCTTGTACAACTGCCCAAGACAAGAATTTATTTTATTTTGTTTGGACATAAACAGGTTATACTACCTTTTCAACTTCTGATGGGTGATCAAGCATAAACTGTTATCATCTATTTTAGAGCCCAATTACCATTTATTTTTCTCTCCTGTCCATCTCTGTTTTTCCCTCTTTATTGGAGAATATCTCAAACTCATCTCCTAGCCACCTATAGAGTTTTTACTTTGCTAGAGTTCTCTTTTGTTCTTCAAATATCCTTGTTGTAGTGCCATAGCCTTACTTCATAAATGTCTTATCCCTGTGAGAATATTAATAATACATTTTAAAAGTTTTCTTCTTCCTGAAGTGTCATATTCCTCTCAGCTGCTTTCTGCCATTAATTTGATCTCCATCTATCATATTAGAAGTATTCTCGTGGTCCTCAACTACAGGCATACCTTGTTTTCTTTTATTGTACTTTGCTTTATTGCACTTCACAGATGTTGCCCTTTTTTTTACAAATTGAAGATAAGACCATCCCTGCCAGCAAAGAGATTATGGCTCCTTTTATTACAATATTCATTTTATTGCAGTGGCCTGGAACAGAACCCACACTATCTCTGAAATAATCATGTATTCATTCACACTTAAGAGGAGGGAACTAAAAACTAGAGTTAAGTGCTGTAACACGTGATTGGAAGCTCCCAGCATGTAGGTGGGACTGGTTTCCTGAGAGCTTCGCTGTAGGCTGATCTGGCTGGGCTGTTGGCTGGGCACAGATGGCACCAGTATCTGTAAGACATTCTTTCCAGCTGGTCAAATTCCCTAAAGAGAAAATACTTCCAGTTGTAAACTTAAGAAATGTCCATCCATAGAAAATTTCTATGAGTTTATTTGAGCCAAACTGAGGACATAGTTGGGGAGCAAGATCTCAAACGCTCCTGAGAATGGCAGTTTTGCAGCTTATTTTATACATTAGACTCAAAGGAGAAGATGTAAGGAAGATGCATAAAATCCATTGGTGGTAGATTGAGGAGGTAAGAGAAAGCATAGTGGGGAAATCTCTAGGATTGGGTGAAAGGCAAAAATACAGAAAAACATACTTTTACATGATGAGTACGGGATAGTTAATGAACATTTACAGCACAGAGACAGTATGCAGGGAATAAAAAAACAATGAGGGGTTCGGCAGTCTGGTTCTTTGGTGTCCTCAGTTGTGCCTTCAAGGGGTAGGAAAAGAAAAGTGCTCTAGCATTTTAAAGGCATATTATCCTAGATGCATAAAAACAATGCAAAGCTCACTTACGGTAAAGACTGACCTTTGCTAAGGAAGTAATAGGCCTGGGACAATTACCCACCATGACCTGCCTAGTTAGCAACCTATGATAAGACCACCCTGTGTGGTTACTTTTGGTCACTGAGTTTGTCAGGCCTGCCAGGTGGCCCTCTGAGCTTATCAGGTTTGTTACATACTCCTTTTAGTTCACACAAGTCAACATGGAAATATTCTGGGAGTCAAGTAGGGGAATGCAAGCTGGAGAATCCATTTGCTTTATTCATTCCCCCTTGACACAGTACAAGTTTATTTTAGGTTTCCGAAGGAGCAGGCCCTAAGACAAGAATTTGAGTACAAGTAGCTTATGTGGGAGGTAATCCTGGGAAAGGTTGGTAGCAAAGCAGAGACACTTCAAGAAAAGCAAGAAAGCCAATGAAAGGATTATTATCAAGAATGTTAGCACTGTGAGTAACTGGAGCTCATCCTGCTGTAGAACTGTGGAGGACGGTATAAAACACACACCTTAGAGTTATCTCACTCAAGGGGTTAGGCAGATGGAGTATTTATGTACTAACTGCCATCTGCCATTGGTTGAGGGCTACTCTTGAGGCCTGCACCCCCATCTACCACATGGGCAGCAAGACAGGCTCTTGGGGGTCAGAAAAAGCCCTCAGGCAAAGAAATGCAGATACTAGCAGTTGGAAGTCCAGAGAGCATAGTGTAATGCATTGATAAGGGTGAGGGTAAGTCGCTCAGGTAGTTCTATTTTGCTGGATAAGCACTCTGTCTTAACGGAACTTCTTTTCTGTGGGGGCGGGGGGGCACTTTAGTGGCTATTTTTCTTAGTTGTCCACTTGAAACTCAAGTCTGGTTTTTAGAGTACTCTAAATGATGGCGGTGTAACAATTGTGGAGAGCAAAGTGGTGTTTACCCCCAAAAGGCTAATGGTACACAAACAAGCAGATCACCAGGCCCCTGCTGAAGGACCCGGAGGAAGTCTTCCTGTTTCCTACCTCTTTGTAGTCTGCCAGCTCAGGCGCAGATATACAGCTCCTCTTTTGGCTCTTAGGGGCCAGGAAGTCCCCAAACTCTCACAATGCCAAACCAATCTCCTCAACAAAGAGTCTGCAACAGAGATATCTAGAGGCAAGCATCTTCCAAGTAACTATCCTGCCCCTTCCCGACTCCAGCCCTGTCTCCCAACACACACATTTCTAGGAGCTGGGCTCATGCACAGTAGAGCAGCCCATAGAGCAGTCGCCTGAGAAATGACTCCATAGAGCCCAAGGCCTTGTTCAAATCCAACTGTCCCCGAGCCCCATCAGTCTCTAGCTTGAGAAAGGCGCATAAACTGGAGTTTGGAGTTGAGGGAAAAGGAGATGCTAGGGTTCTTAAATTATAATAGTGATATGAGTTTTAAATAATTGGGTCAATCATACCTTTAACAAGAAAAAAATTCTGAGATGTTCTAAATTAAAATGACAGCAGCCAGAGAGTGAGAGAAAAAGAACAGTGAGCCTGTTAGTAACTGTGGACCAGCTCTGACAAAAGACTGCTCACATTCCTGTATATCTGTTGGAATTTCAGATTAATTTCAGGTGGCTATTTCCCCTATTGTCCAAAAGAGAGAACAGCCAGGCATCAGAGAACTCCAGGAGCCTCCACTTCCTTACACATGAACTGTCCAGCCTGCTGCCCACAGCCAGTCCACAGGAGCTGACACTTCTCCGTTGTGGACTCACTGCTCCTATCCCAGAACTAGTCCCACTTCATCTTCTCCCACCCACCTTGTCTATAACTAATGAAAATCATTTCAGGATGGTTTACATCTTTCTCCCCACTATTTGATGTATAAAAGGGCTTGAGAAACTCTGGGAAACAACATGTTGTCTTCCCCGCCCAGCCTTGCTGCTGGTGTTTTAGGCACCATGGCCCAAGACTGATTTTTTTCTTTCCCTAGCAATGGCCTTGTAAACACTTTCCTTTTGGCCCTGGTCAGTATGGCTCAGTTGGTTGGGCCTCATCCCACAAAGCAAAAGGTCGCCCTTCTCTCTCCCTACCTTCCCCCTCTCTCTAAATAAACAAATAAAATCTTAAAAAACAAACAAACAAAAAACTTTCTTTAAAAAAGACTTTCAGCTGTGGAAGTTAAAATTTTGTGTTTGCCACCTTTAAAGTTTTAAAATATGCTATCTCATTTAGTGTATAACCACATGGGATAGGCAGATCAATTAATAAGGTTTATAAAGATTGAATGTTTAAAACACTGTGTGTAATGGAGCCAGGACTAGAATTCAGTTCTTCTGAACTCACAGCAGGAATTCTGCTTTAGGGAGAATGACACAATAGTTATTAATGTCAATACAGCACATTATAGTATAAAATTCTTTTCAAATAGCTCTCACAAAAAAAAGCCATAGACCTAAAATGGCATCTCTGGTGGTAAAAGCCCATGATACCAAGCCTAGATTTAATTTCACTTTCCACTTTTCCCACAAATGGAATTTTAATCAACCAGTCTGGAATTTTCTAAAATTCTAAAGGCCATCATATATAAATACTTGATACTTCTCTCTGTATAGTAATAAAACGTTATTTTATCTGCTATATATTCAAAATAAAAAAATAAATTGCCAAAAAATGTAATCATCTTATAAAATAAAAAATTTATTCAGATTGCAGTTCTAGGAGTGGGATATAGCTTTGGGGAAAAAATACTGATGTGAATAAGCTGACAGAATAGGAAACATTCTGCAGCTATGAATACTTAATACTTGAAGAAAAGAAATATGTCTATGTACTTACTTTATGAATGGCAAAGGCGGTAATGATATCAGATTCCTTATGAATAATTCTTGCTTTACCTCCAAGATATCCCAAACCTGCTTCTATCTAAATGGAGAAAAAACATATAAAAATACAGTGATTTTAGTAATAGAAAGAATAATATATGCCAATCTGTCATTTCATACTTGCATAAATTATTTTCAGAAACTCTTGAGGTATTTCAAATCCAAAAGTACTATTTTTACATGCTCATTAACCCTAAAATAAAATTCATTTAACAAGGAGAAGTTATATTTTTTCACACATAGTAAGATAGTTGTTACATATAACATACATCTTCATTAATTGCTTATGTCCAAAGCTATCATGAATTTATTTTAAAGGATCAAGACAGTTTAATTATTATGGTAAGATTTGTTTATCACATTTATTAGTATTATAACACTTTGATAATATTTTATAAATATTAAAAAAGATTTTACACTTTGTAAACCATGTGTCACTGCTGCATATTCTTTTTTAAAACAACCTTTATAACAATATAAAGACCATTCTCAGCTCACAGCCTGTACAGGACCAGTTGGCTATAACCTGCTGGTTATAGTTTACTATCTCCTGATCTAAAATAACATTTAATTTATAGAAGAAACACCTGAAACCCTGAAAGGTACAATAATTTGCCAAAGTGAATAATCATTTTAGTAGCTGAGTAAACCATAATTCAATATACTGTCAATGAGAGAAATATATTTAACCTTATGCTTAAACCAGGTGTATTCAATACCTTTGAATGCAGAAGAGAGTACTGCCTAAAATCAACATTTACTAAAATACAATATTTACATAAATATTTTATTACCTCCAGGTAAAAAGAGGAAGAAATTATTAAGAGTTGGGAATGTCCCTTAAGGTAGGATAATTTTATTTTATCCTCCCTAACTTTCAGTCTTTAAAATGAATTCCTATAAAATGTTTCACAACTTATTGTGAAGTCAGAAGTTATTAATGTGAAATTAGAATACAAAAAATTTACTTCCTGAAAAATTTAGGTAAAATATCACCAGTGCCCAGCCATTGTTTGAACACAGAACTGAGTAGAGTTGGCCGTAGTCTTAAAAACGGCAACTGAGATGACCATATAATTGCAAAGTTAAAAGAATTAGAAATGACCAAACCAAAAAAGCCCTATGCAAACAACTCAAAGTCACTGAATGGAGAGATGTCCAATATATTCTAATGTAAAATGTAATTTGATTACAAATATAAAGGAATTGCAATGTCTGCTAAATATTTGTTTTATTTGAGGGCTAACTTATTATCTAAGGAAAGCCTTAGCTCTGCTAGGAGGCCCATCAACCAATGAGAATATAAAGAATTAAAATTCTTTTAAAATATATATATATATATTTATTTTTTACAGATAGGGAAGGAAGGACTAAAGAGAGGGAGAGAAGCATCAATGTGAGTGAGAAATATCAGTCAGTTGCCTCTGGTAGGTGCCCCAGCCGGGACCAAACCCACTGCCTAAAGAATAAGATTCTTTAATTATATGACAAAATTCCAACTTAGCCACCTCTCTGCCTGATATCTAAAGCACACTAAGTGTTCACTACTGGGAAACTCAAAATAGAGAAAACTACATTTCCATGACATGGAGTGGTATACTAATAATGGGTGAGTGGGTGGGACAGACGTAACAGTTTCACCTGCAGAGCTTCTTTAAACTACACTTAGGGGGATGAAAGATCTTGCAGCATGAAATTCAAAAAAAGCTTCTTCAATGTGGGAACCCATTCCTGTCCTCTCATTATCTAGATTTACTAAAACATTGTTTCTTAACAGCCTGGGCCCAAGATGGCCTGCGTGGGAGTCAACTGGTGGGTGGGGTGGGAGGTAAGAATGGTGTTTAGCATCTCAGGACCTTATGCGTATTTAATTTTGAGAACAACGAAAGTGTTAGGGGATGAGATTCAAGGAGTAGGCAGGGTTTAGTTTGGACGGGGTCTTAGAATCCAAAATAGAGTTCAGATTTTATTTTAAGGCTAGAAAGGCATTGGAGGATTTTAATAGTTCTAGGTGTTGTGAGGCAAAACAGAAAGCACGTGTGAACAGTTCCCAGGAAACCACTTAAGAGGCTGCCACAGCAACTAAAGTAACAGGCAATGGTGGGTTTGATTCCAGTAGCAGGAATGGTGGTATGGTAAGTGGTTGAAATTAGGATGAATTGTGTTAAGTGGACTGAGATAGCAGTATGAGTAAAAGAGATGATGCAAGGATGACTCCTTGTTTTCAGACTGGTAACTAGGTGAGTGGAGGTACCATATATTGAGACAAAAGTGAGGGAAAGAGTAGGTTTGGGTTGGGATTAAGGGAAGACAGAAAATTCTTTTTTGACACTCAGGGGAAGTAACCATTAGATTATATATGCAAGTCTGACGTTCAGGAAATAAATGGGGCTAAGTCTTAAGATCTAAGACTTATCATACAGAACATGGACAACAGTGTGGAAATTGACTGTGGAAGCCTGGGGGTGGGCTGGGAGGAGGCGGGCAAAGGGGGAAAAATTGGGACAACTGTAATAGAATAACAATTAAAAAAAGATTTAAAAAAAGAAAAGAAAAAGAAACTCATCATAAAAAAACTTATCAGACCATGGGTGATATTTAAGCCATGAGATAACTAAAGAGAAGGTAAAGATAAGAAAGAGAGAAAGTTAAAAAAAAAAAACACAAAAGTCCTGGGGTGCCCAACATTTCAAGGATGGGAAAAAAATAGGCCAATTCAGCAGTGGGAAATAGTTTTAGGAAAGAGAAATATTGATAGTGAATAAACTGACAAGACAGGAAATATTCTCCAACTATGAATACTTAAAAATGATGTTATAGAAATCAAGGGAAGCAATACTTCAAAAATTGGTGACTGGAGTCAACAGAATCAAAGGATATTGAAAAGTTGATTTAGAAAAAAGCAGAGAACTGACTGCTAAATTTAGCATACTGCAAGCCCAGTGTAACTTGGACAAGGACTATCTCAGTGAAGTAAGCTGGAGCTAATAACCTAACTAGATTAGAGAGACATAAAATCTGGTGACTAGGAAGGGGAGTCTAGTGAGGAAGATTCTTAGAGACATTCAACTTGAGTTAATAATGTTTTATTTCTTAAGTTCGGTGGTTCCTACATCGTATTTGCAACACTACTCTTTTAAAAAGCCTTCTTGTATGACTTTATAGGCAACTCTATAAATTAATTTTACTACCTAGGGGATTAGGAAAACAGGATAATATATAGATTCAAAGGTAAGTTTTTGTGGTTTTCATTTGAAAATAGGACAACAAAATGTATTTGCTTATGCCAAGGAAAATAATCTGAGAGAGGTAAAAATTTACTATTGAAGAGAGACGAGGGATAAATATTGAAGCTAAGTCCTTGGGGAGGAAAGGATAGATAGAATCAGTGTACAAGTGAAAGATGTGGCTTTGGATAAAAGAATAACAGTTCATCTTAAGATACTGTAGAAGTTAGATTTGGTAGTGGAAAAATTAGGATAAATCTCTGCTGATTGCACTTATTTTGACAGCAAAACAAGGTCAACTGTGGGAAGTAGTAAAGAACTATTGAACATTTGAGGAAAGAGAAAAAAACTGGGCAGAAGGAAACAGCAAGTGTACTATAGAGTAACATTATGATTACAGAATAGTTGACTTCTGAATCTGTGGCTACAAATTTTAAGTAAGAGAGTTCCCCCTTGTACTTTTTCTTCATTCATGTTCAGCTATTAGGGTTCAGACACAGAGTGAACAGAGAGTTCAGTTTAAACAGGTTTGGAAATTTGTGAGTCAGTTAGAGTGCAGAGCAGATGTTTCCAACCTATTGGCATCTCTGGGCCACACTGGAAGAAGATGTGTTGTCTTGGGCCACACATTAAATACATCACAACACGTAATCACAACAAGGTCTCATAATATTTTAAGTAAATTTTATGATTTTGTGTTGGGCCGCATTCACAGCCATCCTGAGCCTCATGCAGCCTGGGGGCCACAGGTTTGACACCAGAGGGAACAGGGCAAAAGGGTTGAGTATGTTTTCAAGGGATTGATCATAATGATGGATCACGGAATCTAAGCTGGAAAACAAAGGAACATGATATGGTCAGCTAAAAATAGATATAGAACTTGCCTGTGCCACAAACATCACTTAATTTGCTAAAGGCCACACAATATAAATCTCTCTCTCTCTCCTCTCTCTTTTACTTCCCAGCATTCATTTACCCTCTGGTAACATGAAGCTACTTTCCTTCAGGAATAACTCCTCCCTCACTCTCATCCATGCATTCAGGTAGGTTTAATTCCTCAATCCCAACCCCTCTACTTTAGCTCCCAACTCTCAGAGTATTTGTCACAATGGTTATTTAAGGAATAAGCCAGGAACCCAAGCCAGGAACCCAAGCCAGGCTCAAAAGATCCAATGCTCGGATACTTGCTGGACCTATTGGGAAAGAAATGCCATTTTTTCTGCTCAGTGTGCTGAAGTGCTACAAACAAGCCAGAGATTTTGTGCCCTCTCACTCTGGACAGCCTGCCTGAGAATGAAGCCAAAAGAGAAGAAACAGGGGTAAGACATGAAGAGGAACCAATTTTTGATCACACTTTTTGAGCCTGGAATCCCACGGAGCTTTGAACCATGTGTAGCCCCTGGATTTTTCATTACCTAAACCAGGACTTTCTCTTTTACTGATGGTGTTGTTACTCTTCAACACCAGTTTGAGTGGAGTATCTGTCTCTTGCAACTCAGTCCTGACTAAGACATTAAGTCTGGTCTTGTGCTTTGGGGAATCAAGGAAGCAGTCTATACCTACATTTTGAGTATATGTTTATTGGGAGAGAAAAGCAGCATGAAAAAAAACATTATGAGAAAAAGGTGATTGGCAAGGGCAGAGCAGCAGCCCAAAGCAAGAGGGCGACCTTGGGGCAGAGATGGGAGCTCAGACCCCACTACTTTGTTCCTAAACAAGAATGACCTCTGAAACTTGGAAAACTTGGGAACACTCCAATTACACTAACAAAATCAATATTTCATGAATGAAATATGATATCTTCAGAAAACTG